AGTTTTTGCCTATTGATGGATTTTTGCAAAACCTCTCTTATTTTCCCCTTGGTATGGGAAGTGATCCTAGTGAAGGTTGTTTTCAAAAAAACATTACTAGGCTCAACATAGGACTGCAAAAGATAAATTTCAGCCTTGTGAAAGGATTTATCAAAAATGGTCTTTCCTCATCTCAAACTCAATGCATTGAGAATTAGTAGGTCTTTCTTTCATGTGCGAATGCAAAATGATTTATTCACTTAAATAAAACTCAGCTTATAAGTCACCTCATGGGATTTTGTTTTTGTTTTTGTTTCACTTATCATTTCTAAAGAATCACTTGAATTTCCAAAATATAGTTGTTTCAGACAAATACTAATATGATGTTTATTTTTGTACTCACTTTGGAGGTCCCAAAAATATCCATGAAAATATATAAGGTTATATATGGTTTTGGAAGAACCAAAAGAAAACATCGAAGGATTATTCATGTTATAGTTTGTGAGCAAATGCCTCTTTTTATAAGTTAAAATTTAAAACTATTAATTTATTGATTAATTGTTGAGTGGGTGGCCACCTCGTAACTTGGTAACAATTATTATTTTTTTATCTGTCAAAAATATCATTGCTAACATCGAAATTTGAACAGATAATTTTATGAAAGTTTTAGGAAATTGTCTCAGCTTTCCGACAAAACAAGAATGAGATCATTTGGATTTCTAGAACTCGAGATATGGGCTGAACACTGAATAGTATCTGGGCTGCAGGACAAATTCTGATTTCTCTATTGTTGCTACAATTTGAACATGAAAACTATCCTTTTTTAATGTTGGACTTCATGAAAGTTTTAGGCCTATATCTTAGCTTTCTGTCCATATAAACCAGACTTAAATCCAAGTTATATAGTTTCAATTATGATCCAATAATTGAATGGTATTTCAGTTTGGACTGAATCAGCATCTCTTTTCTGAGCTTAGCCCTCTCTTTGTCTTCTCAATTCTAGTAGTTATACTTAACAATCAATCATTTGATTTATGTGATAGGCCTGCATTTAAAATGAACATTTACCATAAATTAAAGATATCTTATATTATTAGACATGTTATTAGAAAACATGTTCTAGTTAGGGAATTAATGATACTTTAAGTGCAAAATGATAATATAAAACCTTGATAAAAATACATTTTTTAGTACTAATCAAGTAGAAATATATATATATAACAAGAAGACCAATTTGCAATTTAGGAGGGGAGAGAAAAAAAGGGGGGAAAGGCTAACAACAACAAATCATCCTCTTTCCGATGACACACGTCACACCATAAGAGAAAAAACATGGTGGTGCATCCAAAGAGACGGCAGAAAAGTAGATTCAACCATTGGACAACACCAATCAAAATGTGCAAGTACCGCTCACACACTAGCAACTTTTTAAGATATAATATTAATTAATTTGTGTTAATTACCATAATACCTTAACAACACAATAAACAATAAAAAAATATCAACTTGAAAAATAAAAAATAACCCTGGATCAAAAGAGTTTTTATTTTTAACTTTAAAGACATTTAAGTAATCTTATTGTTCATCCAAAATTGAAAAATCAAAATTGCCTTTATATATCAAATAATTTTTTTTTTCTCTAAAAATATTTTAGTACTTTTATTTTTCATTTTAAAACAAAAGGACACTATCATCTTATTAGTCAAGCCAAATGTTATATGATTTAGGAGAAAATAGTCATTATCCATGGTTTAAAACTACATTTACTTTTAGTATATTTGTTATGTTGCTATATTATTTTTTGTTTGTATGCAAAATTAAAAAAGGCATGTTATATAAAATCTTTATTACTGATTTTAATTTGTTATTGTCTCTTGTTTGACTATTCACATAAATGTGATTATAGTCAACTCAATTGATAGTCACTTAATCATTGTAAGATTAATAAAAAAAATAAAGAATGATAGATTAAAAGAATAATGTTAAATAAAAAAATATATATGATAAAGAATTATAAAAATGCAGATGAACCATGATATCGTGATCTTGAAGTGGGTCGTTAATCTCATAATCCATGTGTATTCTTGGATTTATTTATTTTTCCCTTTATATTTTTTTAATATTTAGCATCACCCATTTAAAGTAGACAAAACTCAAGAGTGTCTTTAAAATACTTGTCAAGTATTATCTAAATATATTTATTATACTTGTTGGATTGAATTTAAAAAAGAATATATATTGATTATAAACACGAAACAAGTCTTATTGCATGTGGAAACATTTTTAAATGTTCCCAATAAACTTTGTAACAAGAACGAAAACTGAAGATGGATCGATGGAGCATTAAGAACGTATTTGGAAACCAAATAAGATAGTAAAGAAAGTAGAAGGATATTGGAAATAAGATTTAACAGAGAAAATTACCTTGGAGCTTTCACTAATTTACCACGTTTGATGATTCTTATAACTATCTATATATCATCAGCTCATTTTTTAAGTGATTTGACTTTACTGAAAAATCCAGATTACATTTTTTTTCTTGAAAAGTTATCAGAACTTTTATATATTTATTTATCACTAGAAATTAATAAAAAAAATTAATTACCAAAAAACATTTTCTACTTTTTACTTATCATTTTTTAATTGAAATTTTTTATCCCCTTAAAAAAAATTAATTTGGTTTTAAAAAAAAATATTTTATTTTTATTTTTAATAAAAAAATACTTTCTAGAAGTTGTGAAAAAATTAGAATTGTTATATTATTTATTAATTGTATTAAATTTATGAAATGTTAATTATTATTATTTTAATTTCTTCATGTTTTAATTTTTTAATTTTTTAGATTTGATGTCTATTATTTTGATTATGATTTATTTCATTTAAGATAATTTATAAAATTATATTTTTTTTCAATTTCATTATTTTTATTCAACTTTTTAATTTAATATTTATTCCTCATTATTTTAATAAACTTTTAAAAAATAAAATATTAATAAGTTATTTTTCAACTTATTTTTCATAACATAACTAAATACTAAAAAATATTTTTTAATTTATTTTTTATTATACTATTAAATATTAAAAAATAATTTACTTTTCTAAAATTCACATGAAAAAAATTACTTTCGCAGAACAAACGACCTGTATGTCTTTACTTCTAGCAATTTTAGTATTAAAATGAATAATTTTACACATTTTGCCCGCCCTCACTTTCTCTTCAAAACGGAGAAATTGATTTTTTGGGGGCTCTCGGGCAAATTTTCATAATTTCTTCTTCCCTCTCTCCTCTCATTTTCTTTCTTTTCTTCCAAACAATGGAAGTTGGTAACTTTCTACCCTTGTACATCTCCATTCATCCAATCCACTCCTCTCACATTCCGCTCTCCTAAGAACACTCTGTAAACAATTTTTAACAAGTGTTCCAAGAACATTTGTTAACTGGGTTGATCAAAATACTCAAGTACTCGTCTCATCTTCAATCTATTTCATTAATATTAATATATATTGTTGATGTTGTGTTAGTCATTTTCAACATATATTTGATTGCATTGATGCAAAGACAACATGCTTGATAATTTTGATCAGTTGAGATTGTTTTACTTGCAACCACTTTGTTTGTCAGCAAGATAAGGACGTTGGTGCGTTAGCCCTCATCGTTTTCCTGTGAAAAGTTCTATAGTTAAGAAATGATCGAAGGTCGCTTTCATCACTGATAAAAAGATCATCATCACGATTCAAAGGATCAGCACAAGCAAGATCTAGGGATTATTTAAATGCCAGAATCTCTGGTTGGTTGGACCGATAGCTAGAGATGCACAATCTTATCCAAATTGCAAGTTGAAGAATATTAATTGAAGACTGTTCTTCCGCAACCAGGACGAAGTGGGTCATCTTTAGAATTTCAAAAGAGAACATTTGGACTGAGATTCTTGAGGGAAAAGAATTGCAAGTGAGGTCAAGAAATTGGATAATCTCAGAGATTGAATAAACAGCTTCTTTCCAGCTTTCCAAGCACGTAGATATGCCACCATGGGATGACTAGATAATAGATAGATACACAGCTAAGAACAAGAACAAAATCAAAGAGCAATAAAAATTAATGGAACCTTTCCTCTTTTTCGTTGTTGTTCAGGCTTGTAGTCTCCTGAATTAATGTTTGCAATAATTAAATCATTGCTTAGAGGTGTCTAGATTCACCTTCTTACCACAAATCGCATATAAATGAGGTTAGAGGAATAAATTTGTAAATTTTGGAAGGTATCATTCACAGTAAAAACGGATGACATCTAAAAGTTGTTTAAAACGCTGTTGAGATTATATTTTAAAAAAATTTAAAATTTTTTATCGGTTGAGATTATATTTTTAAAAAGTTTAAATTTTTTAATTAAAAATAAATTTTTTTATATATTTTAAATTGTTTAGATATGTTAATTTTTTAAAAAAATTATTTTAATATAAAAATATTTTAAAAAATAATCACAACCACGTTATATTCTCAAACAAACAAATTTATTCTCTACTTTAACTTTTTTTTATTTCAAAAATAATTAAAAAACATATGATAATCTCGTTTAATTTGTCGGTTTAATTATGGTCAAACAAGAAACAGGTAAGATTTGATCTGATTTGGTTGAAATTATTTAAATAGCCCATCGTTTATTTTTATTTTATTTTATTGCACGGAGTTGGATCCATCTTGTATTTTTATTTTATTTTATTTTATTGCACGGAGTTGGAATTTTATTTTTTGGTACAGCATATGGATTTTTTTAATTTTATGTTTAAACAATGATTTTAAACTTTATATATTTTAAATAAGAATTAAATAAAGCAAAATCCAGCTGTAAGTACATGTATAGGATGTAGAATCTGGTACTTGCCAAGCCTAAGACTTGTAAAAGAGTGAAAATGCAGACAAATCGACAGAATCTTAGCCGACGTTCGTAAGAAAAAAGACACGTGTAGGGCACTCCCGTGGAACAAGAAAGCAAGCTGCAGAAGCATCTCCTCAAACAAATACATGACACACAACGTGTTAAATATGCGCTTGCCGAAAGTTGACGTTAATCCTATAAACAATCAAGCAAACAGTTTAACCCCTCCCTCTCCCTCTTCAAATTTCCAGACATAAAAGCCGGCGGCAAGGCTAGAAGTAAGAACACAAATCCATCAGACGAATACTAATAATCGACGATGAGTAGCCATCTCTCCTCTTGGTCTCGGCTAGAAGACAAGCAATTCGAGCAGGCCCTTGTTTTGTTTCCTGAGGAAACGCCAAAACGGTGGGAAAAGATTTCAAGCTATGTTCCTGGAAAGAGTTGGCGTGAAGTAAGGAAACATTACGAGGATTTGGTTCACGATGTCTTGGAGATTGACTCTGGACGAGTTGAGGTGCCCGTTTATGATCAGGATGAGTTGTGGGGCGACTCGACTACGAGTTTTGGTGCTGCTGCGGAGCCTAGATCAGGAAAGGAGAGAGAGCATACAGAGAGGAGGAAAGGAACTCCTTGGACAGAAGAAGAGCACAGGTAATAGTTAGCCATGTTGATTCCTTACTTTTCTTGCAATTGGGAAAAAACTAGTACGGTAATTAATATTGAAAGTAGATGCTTTGTCGAAAAACTATTCAATCTCATGGTAATTAATTGATTTGGCGATTATTTTGTGTTTTTGGGCAGGCTGTTCTTGATTGGACTGCAAAAATATGGGAAGGGAGATTGGAGGAGTATTTCAAGAAATGCAGTTGTGTCAAGAACACCTACACAGGTGGCCAGTCATGCCCAGAAGTATTTTCTTCGTCTAAACTCCGTGAAGAAGGAAAAGAAGAGGTCTAGCATACATGACATTACTGCAACTAATGCGACCCATTCAACGGCACAAACCAATCATGATCCAATTTGGAATTTTGAGCTGATGGACCAATCGGTGGATGCACTGAGCCGCCCAGCAAACTTTTTCCATGATCAAGGAAACCCACCAGCCTATCAAGGGTTCGGATTTCCCATGTGATTGAAGAACAGGAGTTGGATATCTTGTAAACTTGACTTTCTAGTCTAATCTGAAGCAACCAGCTAGCAAGGTCCAGTAGGGACTAGAGATATGAAAAAGGAAATTAGGGATTTTTATTTAGTTTGTGAAACGAGTGGAGACCCCAACCGTGTGTAAGAAGTTTACAAAGAGGGAAAGGGAAAGTAATGTATGGTTTAAAATATTACAAATCAAACCAAGGCTTGGCCTAGCGGTAGAAGGGGCTTGTCTCCTTCCACTGCACCTGGGTTCGAGCCTTGGCGTGCACGCCTGTCACCCCCGCGCCTTACATGCTTACTGGGTTTGCAGGGTATTCAGTGGGCCGTGGGGATTAGTCGTGGTGCGCGCAAGCTGGCCCGGACACCCCACGTAAATAAAAAAAAAACAAAAAAAAAAAGTTTACAAAGAGGGAAAGGGGAAGTAATGTATGGTTTAAAATATTACAAAAATTGCAGTGCAAATGTGGGAAGGATAAAGCACCTCTTACATTTAGATTGTACTAGCCTGACGCCAGCATTTTTTTGGTGCAAAAATAATCATCTTCATGTAATACTAGTGTTTTTAAATAAGTAAAAAATATTTAAAATTTGGATAATTAAAAGAGACTGTATTTGGATAAACCGTGTTACTTTCAAAAAAAAAAAATCTTATCACAAGAAAGTAAAAAAAGGAAAACAATGTTGGAGCACCGGAAAAAATGAGCTTAAAAAAAATCAAATATATCAAGGTGAATATCAAATTTATTTTAAATTTGATGTGATGTCTCAAACTTGAAATTTGTTTAATTCAACATTCATACTTAATCGATAAACTTAATATAAGTATAATATTGAAAAATATAATTAATTAATTCAATTTAAAAAAATTATAGACCAAAAAAACTCTCACAACAACTAAAGAATCCTATAAAAAACCAAAAAAATACATAAGGATGAAACAAGAAAAAAATAAAGTTTAAAAAAATAAGCAAATTTGGGTAAATATTTGAAATTTAAGTTAATTTCTGAACGTCACAATCCATTAAATTCTACAACCGAGTTTAACTAAAAGCTTAATATTTTATCAATTTAATGTTAAATCATAATATCAATGAGTTTAATTAAAAAATAAAATTCTTTTTAAAAAAACTAAAAATAATATCAATGAGTTTAATTAAAAAAAATTAAAAAGCTAAATTTTAAAAAGGATACAAAAAACACTTTGAGGTAACCTTTGTTGTTTTAAAAACAACTAAAAAATCTTATAGATAGCAGAAAAAATATTGGATGATGAAGTTGAAAAAAAAACACGAGTTGAAAAAACAAAAACAAATCCAAGTAAATCTTCTAAATCCAAATTAATCTCTTAAACTTATAATTCATTAAATTTTAGGTTCGGATTCAATTAAAAAGCTCAACACCAGACCAACTTAATATTGAAGAATGAATGAAAAATTAATTTAAAAAAATCTCAAGATAAAAAATAATAATTAAAAAAATCAGGATCAAATTTGATAGGAGAAAAAATTTGAGGATGAAACTATATAAAAAAAAGTTAATTTTAAAAGTCATACCATATAAAAATAAATGGCAATAAAAAAATGAGAATAAATTTGACAAATTAAAAAAAATCATTAGGGATGAAATTGAAAAATAATTCTGATTTCATAAATTATTTTAAATAAAAAAAATAGTAATTGAAAAAAAAAATCAAACATTAAAGAAAAAATAAATGATATAAAATAGTTGAAAAAAAAATCAAGCATTAAAGAAAAAATAAATGATATAAAATCATATTTAATTGAAGAAACAAATACAAAAATATAAGATAAATTCATCTATGTTATACATTTAGAGTAAATCTTTATAATTTTAATTAAAATAGAAGCATAGGAAGATAAGTCTTGTCTATCTCCATTGTCATTCTGTCTTTTATTTCGAGGTTGTACTCAAATATTATTTAACCAATAATGTTAGTTTAGCTTAATTGGTATTTTTAAATTCAAGTTCCAAATGGTCCGACAAGAAACTCACAAGTTACATTTTGATTTTTCTTTCCATATGAAAGTCTTTCAGTTTCTTACAACTTAATTACTATTTCAACAAAAGCACAGGAGGTGATCTCCACACCATGGGAACCGAAGACAGACACCAGAGCAGGAGTTTGTGTAAGGAGTCCGGCCAGTTTTTTGGGTTGTTGTTGTGGTTGCCCCATGAGCTTGTTTTTTAAGATTGTAACTTTTTTGGTTTTGGGCCTTTGAATTTACCGGGAAAAAAGCACACACACGCACACAAGGTAATCCTACTTCGAAATTAATAATAATAATAATTATTATTATTATTATTATTATTTAAAATATATTAAAATTCCTTGACATTTTACTATAAAAATTAACATGAAATTACAAGGTCTTTTCGTATTGATTCTTAAATTTTTAAGGATTTTTTAATTTCATATTTAATTTTTTTTAATTTTATCATTTAATATTAGGTTTACTATATATTAAATTTTATAATTTAATTTTTATAAAATTATATCAATCTCATAACTCAAATAATAGAATTTACGAGTTAACCATGTTAACTTGGGTCTATTTTAATTAATTATTTTTTTAATTTTTATCTTTCAATACTAAGTTGATCATAAATTGAGCTTCATAATTGTTTTTTAATTTAATTTTTATAGGGTTATCATGATTTCATGACCCGAATTGTAAGTTTTATAGGTTAATTAGGTTGATTTAAGTTTTTTTTTTGTTCTTTTTTAATTGAATATTTTTTTTATTTCATCATTTAGCATTTTGTTGATTATGAATTACATTTGTAATTTTCTTATATATACTTTTTACAGAGTTATCTTAGTCTTCTCACCCGAGTTTAGCAAGTTAACCTAGGTTATTTTTTATCATTTTTTTGTAGTTTAATCATTATACAATGAATTAATTGAGAATTAAACTTTATATATAAATATATATTGTTTTTTATGGGTTATCATAGCCTTATAATATGAGTTATGAGTTAGGCAAATTAACTTAAGTATTTTTTTTCTTTTCACGATATTTTATTTTGACATTATGATTTAGTTGAGGGTTTGATTGGTTAACTCAGGTGTTTTTTGTGTTTTTATTTATTTATTTATTTTATTTTAATTTTACCATTCAACATTGAATTTATTAAGAATTGAGTTTCCCTTCAACATTGAATTTATTAAAAATTGAGTTTCATAATTTGTTTTTATTTATTTTTTATAAGGTTATATTCATTTTATAATCCAAGTTTTACTGGTTAATTCGAGTTAACTCAACTTAATTTTATAGTTGAATTTTATTTTTAATTTCATTATTTAATATAAAGTTGATTGAAAACTAGATTTAATATTTATTTATTTATTTTCTATATAGTTATTATGATCTGGACAACAAATTTGATAATTAACTTCAGTTTATTAAAGTAAATTTAATATCTATTTTTTTAATATTTTTTTAAAGTATTTTTTTAATTATTTTATATTCAAATTATATTTTTATAGGTTATAATTATTTTTAAATTTATCAAGTTGATAAAATCTCATTAAATAAATTCTCATATAGTTTTTTAAAAATACATTAACGCACGTGAATAATATTTTTGCATCCAAAAATCTGTAACATAGTGCAGGCAATATTATAGTAGTTGCCTGTTATAACTCGTGATAAATCCAGGTTTTCTTATTTATGATTGTCAATCTGCCTATTTTTATATATAAAACGATTTATATTCTATTTTTTTACTCCACCTGGCTTTTTATTAGTTATAGTCATAAAACAAAACAAAACAAACTGTATTAGTTTAATTAAATACTAATTTATTTTATCATCTATTTAGTAAGCAAATTCTTTTAATTGGTAGCTCTTTCTGCTTTTTTTCTTAATTAATCTCTTTGTAAAGACAAGATATTAAAAAAATAATTTCTTTATTTTTATATTCATAAGTTCTTAGATTCCACATTTTCTGTAATTTCTTTATTCCAAAAAATAAAAAAATAGTGTGGAAAACAAAAAAAAAATCTTGGTTAAAATTCAAAGGTAGGAACAAGTCAAGTCTAAGTAGTAGCATAGATCCTCCATGCATTGTCCGTGCACACATGAGATCATAGTTTTCAGATTACAAGTAAACTAAGTTTGGCTAAGCTTGGTCTTTTATGATTTAAATTAAAACCTAGACCGAGCTAGGTTTAAGATCATGAGTTTCTCAAATTATCCTGTGAAGTCGGGAGTAAGTACATATTCTACTAAAAAAAGGGATTCTTTGTAGGGCTTCACTGCTTTCTTTCTTTCTTTTTCTTTAATTTTATTGTTTTTTTTCTTAGTTTTATCCACAATTTGTTTAATAATTATTCAAGTTATTTTTAAACCAACTAAATCAATTAAATCACACTAGATAATTCATAAACAATTTAATTTTAAACTAGACAAAGAGTTTGAGCGAAAGAGATATTTTTGTCAATTTTATTTTTAGATATTTTTTTTGTTTACCAATCGATCAAATTGATTAGGTCATGCTTGGGTAATTTTCATACAATTTAATTTTAAATTTAAGCTAAGTAAAAATTTGAATTGAAAATTTTTTTCTATTATTTTTTTTTTTTTCAATCTCATCATCGGACTTTGTTTTATCAATCAGTCGAGTTGTTTTTAAATCAACCAAGTTTATTGGTCATATTAGAAAAACTTTTATATAGTATAATTTTAAACTTAAACTAGGTAAGAAATCAAATCGAGAAATTTCAAGATTATCCTATTAGATTAGATTTAATAATAACTCTAAATAATTCTCTATTGTTTAATTTTTTTTGTTACATCCAAACAAATTTTGATCGGCATAGCTTAATTGTTGTAACCTATTAATAAGAACTAATTGAGAAAGGAAAATCATTGTTCCTCTCCTCGTAAAATATTATTCATCTACACCATATTTTTTTTAATTTTATCCATTAACATTAGATTTATTGGAGATCGAGCTTCATAATTTTTTTCAATTTTTTTTTATGAGGTTATCTCAGTCTAATTACCTGGATCGCAACTTCTATAGGTTAACCCAATTAACCTAGTTTTTTTTATTTTTTTTTGTAATTAATTTTTTAAAAAATTATCATTTACCATTCGGGTTAATTGAGAGTTAAGTTTTATAATTTATTTTTTATGAGGTTATTCCAGTCTGACGACCCGAGTCAAGGGTTTGTTGGGTTAAACAAGGTTAACTCTGGTTTTTTTTTATTTTTTTAATTAATTTTTTCTTATTTCATCATTTAATGTGGATTAATTGAGAATTGAATTTTATAATTTGTTACTTTTTATTTAGTTATTATGGTCTTGTAATCTAAGTTGACTCAAGTTTTTTTTTTAATTTTTTTTAATTTTTTAATTAATATTGGGTTAATATTGGGTTGATTGAGAATCAAACTTCAATATTTTTTTTTTATTTTTAATTTCTAGAAGGTTATCATAGTTTTATAACTTGAGTTATAAATTTTACATGTTAGCTTGGGTTGACTCATATCGATCTAATATATTATTATCTTGATATTAAAAAA